CGGGAGCGGCGCCGGTACTCGCCTCGGCGCCCCGCATCCCTGTGCGCGCGCCCGCCCGCCCACCTGCGCGCGGGAGGGCTCCCTAGCTTCCCCTCCAGCGCAGCGGGGCCACAGCCTCCCCTTGGTTGCCCCTCCGGGGGTCTGCGTGGGAAGGGGGACAAGCCCACCCTCCCCTGTAATTCCCAGGAGGGCCATGCATGCAGACACGTTGCCCCGGGAGAGTGAGTGCAGTGTGCTTTGGAAACATGGCAGGGGACACCGCCCTTCCACTGACTTCTAACCTTGATTTTCATCTCACCTCAATGGCATCTGGAAGCCCAGGGTGTTTTCACTTGCACTTTTAATACTTCCCACAGCTTAAAACAAACAACAAACAGCAACAAAAACTCCGAGCTACTAACTACTATTGGGCACCGTACAGCTCAAGCATCCCGGAGGGTCTTCCGTCCCAGGAAATTTGCTACCCCCAAATTTCCTCTGTGATGAGCAGCAGGCTGGGAATGTGTGCGAGTGTATGGGTATTCGGGAAAGAGGGATGTCATCCCGAACTTACGTGTATAGAAATTAATATTTTCACATTTTCAATAAAATGCACACTTTAACTGCGCTAAAAAAATGAGTGTATTGTTGGTATAAATGGAGTCATAACGTATCACAAAGATAATATGTTTGCAATAGAATTTACCAGCGAGAGTCTGTTAATCAATTCTACCCCAACAATAGGCAAAATCAACTGCATTATCATAATATATATGCAAATATATATGGGCCCTCCTTCAGTTTTACAGTTTCAATTTCTATCGATGTCAATGGACAAAATGGCCAGTCTTCATGAAGGGATGTTTTGTTTTTAAGAGACAAGAAATGCCATGTTTCTTCAGTATGAAAATTGCCATCTCTCCCAGTTTCCTTATGTTCTAGCTTCTGATATGAACGTGATGTACATTAAGTACTGCTTTGTTCCAAGGAAAGCACTTCAGGGGAAAGAAATCCACTTTGAGCTTAGAGCATGGTTCTCAGCCTTCCTAATGCTGCGATCCTTTAATACAGTTGCTTATGTTGTGGTACACCCCCACCCCCTCCCACCCCCACCCCCTCCCACCACCACCACCCCGCCCCAAACCATAAAATTATTGTTGCTACTTCATAACTGTAATTTTGCTACTGTTACAAATTGCAATGTAAATATCTGTGTTTTTCTGACAGGCAACCCCTGTAAAAGGGTCGTTTGACCAACAAAAAAAAGGGGGGGTCACGACCTACAGGTTGAGAACCTCTGGCTTAGAGCATTTTATAAGCAGAGAATAGTAACTGAGACGAGACGAGTCTTGGATAATCATCTCCCTACTTTACACTTAGGTTGAAAGGTCAAATAAGACTTGTTTGTTTTGTTTTTTGGGACAGGGTTTCTCTGTGTAGCTCTGGCTGTCTTGGAACTCACTCCATAGACCAGGCTGGTCTTGAGCTCACAGAAAAATAAGACTTCTTTTTTTTTTTTTAATCGCTGGTTAATTGAGCGACTGGCTTCAACTTTTCCTGTTTGCCTTGTGAGGCTTTTTGGATTACTATAAGGCAGAAATAGCTCTGAACTCTAGAAGGGAAACCCTTTAACTTCTCCCACCTCCTGAAATAGCATCTTGATTTACTTCATGGCTAGGATTTGGCCCAGGGAGGTTCTGCTATTTATTTTAATCTAAAAGAAATGGTTGGGCTAAGGCTGTAGCTCAGTTGGTGGAGAGCCTGCCTAGCATGGGTGAGGCTGTGGGTTTGATCCCCAGCAGCATTTAAAAATGAGCATGACAGCTCACGGCTGCAATCTCAGCACTTGAGATTATCAGCAGGGGGATCAGATGTTCAAGGTCGTCCTCTGCTACCTAGGGACTTTGAGGCCACCCTGAACTATATCCGTGGGACTCTCTCAAAACTAACACCAACTGAGGTAGGAGAGATGGCTCACCAGTTAAAGGTACACACTGCCAAGCCTGACGACCTGAGTTCCAACCCCAGAACCTACACGGCAGAAGGAGAGAACAGATTCCCAAAGTTATCCTCTGACCTCCCCGTGCATGCCTACATATATACACATTAAGTAAATGCTTAAAAAGAAAGAAAGAAAGAAAGAAAGAAAGAAAGAAAGAAAGAAAGAAAGAAAGAAAGAAAGAAAGAAAGAAAAGAATAACAAAACAGTCCAACTGTGTACCAGTTACATCACTAGGATGTTGCAAAAGAGCAAACGGAAACTGAGTGTTGTGAAAACCATTTGCCAGTTTCTCCTGAAACCATCGGAGACTTGAGAATCTAATACTGCCATATTAGCATGAAGTGCCCACCTTTGGTCTCAGCACTCCTAGACAGAAGCAGGTGTGCCTGTGAGTTCCAGGGCTGCACAGACACTCCAGGCTAGCAGGACTGAGGCCATCTCAAAAGAGAAAACAGTCTGCAAAAGCTCCCAATCATAACAAAGGCAACTGGAGAGTTTGGTATTTGTTTTGTCTTATGTACAGTGTTATTATCACAGACAATTATAGTTAACACATCGAGTTCAAAATGCTAGAATCAAAATAAAGTACTGTGAGAAAGTGGAATTTTCCTTGGAAACATATTTTAAGTTGATTTAACACTTTGATTTGCCTTTCCATAGTCTCAGCTAGAAAATTAATCTAATAAATCATACATTTTAAAATTCGTAATTCGATGAGGTTTTATTATTAAACCTATTTAAATAAAAGATAATTTAAAATTTAAAAACTGGACCGGGCGGTGGTGGCACACGCCTTTAATGCCAGCACTCGGGAGGCAGAGGCAGGCGGATCTCTGTGAGTTCAAGGCCAGCCTGGGCTATCAAGTGAGTTCCAGGAAAGGCGCAAAGCTACACAAGAGAAACCCTGTCTCGAAAAAAAAAAAAAAAAAAAAGAAATGCACTCTGGTATTATTCTCACTTTTGGACTATTGCTCTTATTGTTGAAACAGAATTACGTTCCTCAACCTTGACTAATTTTATGTTCATTCTTAGTTTGGGTTGTTTTGTTTTGTCTGTTTCTTTTAGCCTTTTAATGAGTTGGTTTAATTCAAAGTGATGCAGAATTCAGAGGACAGCAAAGATGAAACAGCTCTGGTAGGATCTCAGACTGGGTTTGTTTAAACTGGCAGCTGAGGTAGGAATTGCTGAACACTAGAGACAATGAGCCACTGTATTATTTATTTGTTTACTTTACAAAGTTTGTTAGAATGTACAACAGGCTCCAGGATAACACTTCATTCTAACTATTAGGTGGCAAAGATGTTATAGTAGGGAATCCAGATGTTGAACAGGCTCCGGGATAACACTACATTCTAGGCAAAGATGTTATGGCCAGGAATCCAGATGTTTAAATAGGAACGGAAGAGGGCCGCCATCATCTCAGATATGAGGAACAGTTTACTTTTTGCCAGATTTCTTAATTCCACTGTGGCCAGGGGTCCCTTCCCCGCGGCCTTGGCTTTTAGCTCCTCGGGTTTCTTCTGCTCCTCTTTCTGTTTCTGCTTCAAAGCCTTATCTTCCTCATCCATCTCCTTGGCCTGCTTCTTGGGCTGTTTCAGGGGCTTCTTTTTGCCACCTTCTCCGCCCAACATGGCGCCTACAGATAGCCCCTCACCAGGCCCTTGGTTTGTTTGTTTTTTTAATATTTATTTATTTTTATTTTATGTGCACGAGTGTTTTCCCTGCATGTATGTCTGTGAGTGTGCCAGACCCCCTGAAACTGGAGTTACAGACAGTTGTGAGCTGCCATGTGAAATGAATCCAGGTCCTCTGGAAGAGCAGCCAGTGCCCCAACCCCTGAGCCATCTCTCCAGCCCCTCCTTTTTTTTTTTTTTTTTTTTTTTTTAAATGTCTTCAGTAAAGCCTACATTTTCTAGTTGTGTAGAAAGTCTGAAATAGTAAGTCAAACTGTTGGTCAGGAACTTAGAGATTGTCTTATCTTTTGACCACAGCTCAGCCTTAAGCAGCTTTACATGCTCAGGGTTTTGAAGGTTTTGTTTGGAGGGATTGTGTTGTTTTTAGGGGGTTTGGGGGGGTATGTTTTTTCTTATTTTCAGTTAAAACCCGAATCAAATTGAGTGTCTGAAATGATAAAGAATAAGCCTTCTATATCTTTTTGCTTCTTCTCTTTCCTTCCTGGTTTTAAAAAGAAAAACAAGTTAATAACACTTTCTTCTATCTCCTTTTCATTCATTCTGGCACTGATCCATCTCCAAACCTTCACTTTCTTCAAACAATCTTTAATTCCAGGCACTATGAAAACTGACATTTTTTCAATGATATGAAGAGTCATGGTCCCTACTGTTGAGGAAGATGAACAGTATGATATTCTATTGAGAGAATTCTTTGTATTTCCCTGCCCCCTACACCCACGATGGATTATGCTACATAGCTCAACAGTCTTCTAGCCCAGAGGCAAAGATAAGCTGGCCTGTGGCTGATACCATGTTACTGACCTATCAGTTTTAACTCCAGCCCATCTCAGCAAAGCATATTGGAGTATAAGCAAGCAGGAATTACATAGAAGTAGCTTGAATCCACTCCAGTTTAAGAAAAGATACTATACACTGTAAGCCTGTGTTAGTGCTATGGCATTTTTTTAAAAGGTTTATTTATTTAGTATGTATACAGTGCCCTGTCTGCGTGTATGCCTGCAGGCCAGTAGAGGGAGCCAGATCTCATTACAGATGGTTGTGAGCCACCATGTGGGTGCTGGGAATTGAACTCAGAACCTCTGGAAGAACAGCCAGTGTTCCAGCCCCTTGTGCTATGGCATTTATTAATTCAAGTGAATTGAGTCCTGATGAAAACACCAGGATGACACAGCACTGATGGAGCATAGTGGAGGAGCTCAGAGGCTGACATCTGCTTACTCTCTAGCCCATTGGTGCCTCTGTGAAATTGGATCTCTTCTTGTTCTTAAGTCCTAGATTCTACAGTATCGTGCTTTTTACTTTACCTCAGTGTCCACCTGTATTTGTGGTAGCTGAGGTGGGATAGTAAGATAGATAAAGAGGACCATGGAAATGGCTCAGTGGCTAAAGGCACTAGCTACCCAAGCCGGATAACCCAAGTTTGATAAAAAGCAAGATGTGTCTAGAGAGATGGTTCAGTGTTAAAAGCACTTACTGTCTCTCCACCTAGAAAGAGAGCATTGGCATCCACCCCTCTCTGCTTCCTTTATGGTGGAAACAATGTAACCGGCTACCTGCTGCCCTTGCTACCATGCCCTCAAGACATGATGTACATTCAACCTGGGATACAAAATAAATTCTCTCTTCCTGAAGCCACTTTTCTTGGGTATTTTATCTCAACAATGAGCAAAATCACTAACACTCCGTTCTTTCTTTGTGGTCAGGTAAGCCCCAGGATATTGCCCTATGTTTAGATATTGCTGACTAAATACATGTATCTCCAAAATATATCTGCTAAAATTCTACTCTTACTCTGATTATAATTTGATGATCAATTAGGTCATGAGGGTAAAGACCATGGGGATAGGTTTCGTGCCTTTAAAGACCACAGAGGGCTCTCTTTCCACCATGTAGGACAACAACACAAGGAGTCTAAAAGTCTGCTATCTTTATTTCTTTCTTTCTTTGTTCATAAGCCACCTGGTCTATTTGCTTATAAAATCTGGAAAAAAATTGCAAAGCTTATTTTGTTCCCTGCATCAAAACATTTTTTGACCAGATTCTACACCAAATGGGTACCTTACAAGTTAAATCAATTTTTGACAATTTCTTCTTGAAAATAGTGGTGAACGCCCTATGTTAAGAGCTCAGTCCCTTAGGACCACATCCCTTATCAGTTGTCAACCATACACCTAAGGTTATGACTTTGAACTTCTGTACATCAGGGTCTCAGCCCATAACCCCTTCCTTGAGTGCTGTAGTTTTCCACAGCAGCTCACACACCCTAAGAAAACACTTTACTTAGACAGTTTATTTAAATAGTTAATTACAGATGATGTCACAAAAGAGTCATTTAGATGCAAGAGGCAGATTGGGCAAAGAATTTAGGAAGAGGTACCCAAGCCCACTCCCAGCATACACCACCCAGAAACTTGTAAATGTTCAGCAACCGAAACCATGTGCGTTTGTGTTGTGGAATATTAGTTTAAGATGTATTACATTTGTTTATGCTGTGGAATATTTTTTAATGATACAAAGAGGTATTGCATTCTTTTATGTTGCATTTGTTTAACTCTGTAAAGATGTGTTACTTTGCCTGTCTAAAACATCTGATTGGCCTAATAAAGAGATGAACAGCCAATAGCAAGGCAGGAAAAAGGAAAGGTGGGGCAGCCAGGCAGAGAGAATAAATAGGAGAAGAGAGAAGAGCCGGGAGTGAGAAAGGAGGAGAGGAAGATGCCAGGGGCCAGCTACCCAGTCATACAACCAGCCACGGAGTAAGAAGGAAAGAAAGGTAAAAGCCCAGAGGCAAAAGGTAGATGGAATAATTTAAGGTAAGAAAAGCTGGTGAGTGGCTGGGCGGTGGTGGTGCACACCTTTGATCCCAGCACTCGGGAGACAGAGCCAGGTGGATATCTGTGAGCTTGAGGCCAGCCTGGTCTACAGAGCCAGGTCCAGCACAGGCACCAAAACTACAGAGAAACCCTGTCTCAAAACAAAACAAAACAAAAGCTATCGAGAAACAAGCCAAGCTAAGGCTGGGCATTCATAAATAAGAATGAGTCTCCCTGTGTTTATTTGGGAGCTGGGTGGTGCGCCCCCCCAAAGAGTAAAAACAAACAAGCAAAAAAAAAAACCCAACTACACTTTTGCGTTTTTGTATCGTCTATATTACATAGGCAGGAGCAATGAATTCAACTTTCATCCCTTTGCCTCCTCAGAGACTGGGCGATAGAGCTGACAGTGCCAATTTTCTTTCTCCCCCCCCCCTTTTTTTTTGATTTTTCAAGGCACAGTTTCTCTATGTAACAGTCGTGGCTGTCCTAGAACTCACTTTATAGACCAGGCTGGCTTAGAACTCAAGAGATCTGCCTGCCTCCCGAGTGCTGGGATTAAAGGCATGCATCACCACTGCCTGGCCAGTGTTAATTTTCTAATCACAGGGTTGGATCCTTTGGTAAGCATGCCCTACCTTAAGGCATCCCAGAATGGCTTTGTTAAAACAAAAGATGTTCCTATTATATACATGGGAGATTGTAAAGGTGACGGGTGCTCTTTCAGGAACACGGTTCAAAATCCAAATATTAGACAAAAGATTTTTTTAGTGCCTCTTTCTACAAAGGTGTCAGAAGCTGTGAACCAGGAACCAGGTGCAAATATCAAATATCTGTTTGTTCTTATACCACTACCACAGCAGCCCAAGATACTGTGCCTCCTTAGTCTTTTCTCAGTTGCCATGTTTTCTCAGACATTTCCAAGTTTTAGCATCCTTGGCACTGCTGTGGCATACTAGTACACTTCAGAATATCCCAGTAAAGTTCATCTGGTGCTTTTCCCATACCTAGACTGCTGGTGGGCTTGGAGAAAGAAAAACAGCCTAATGGTCTACTTCCACCACACATATCCAAGTTGCATCCTGTCGGCAGGATTCATCCTGTTGACCTTGACCTTGGTTACCTGGCTTTGTCACATTTTCCTCTTATGGTTACTCTGTTTCCTCTTTCCAGAGTTTAAAAGGAAATCATTCATTAAAGCCCATCCTCAAGAACTGGAAATTTAGGGCTGGAGAAACGTTTGAGTGCATAAGTGGATAAGAGAACACTTAATTGGTCTTCCAGAGGACCCAAGTTCAGTTCCCAACACCCACAGCAGGACACACACACACACACACACACACACACACACACACACACACTTATTCAGAACACTGTAAACTTGTACTCCTTCTGCTTTAACTTGTAGTGTCCATTGAGCATTTGGGGGGCTGAATTGGAAAGATCACAAGCAAAGTCCAGGCCAAGGTGGGTTACACTTTTTTAAGACTGTATCTAAAAAAAAAAAAGTGGAGTATCATTACATAGATTATTTTGGAATTCTTCATGTCCTCTCTCCCCTCTATTTAATTGCTCAAGCAACCACTCCCTTATCCCACTATTGAAGCAGAGTCTCACTATGTAGCCTTGGCTGGCCTGGAATCTGAACCCAGTTTGTGGACCAGTGTGGTGGTTTAAATGGGAATTCCCCCACACACTCATGTATTTGAAAACCCAGATGGTAAAACTGTTTGGGAAGGATTAGGAGTAGTATCAGGACATAATATCATGAATGGAATAAATCAATACAATTAATGTAATTAATGAATATCATAAATATAGTTATTGAATGAATACTGCAAATGTAATCAATGAATACCACCAATGTAATTAATATCATGAGTATAATTAATGAATGAGTGTAATTAATATCTTGAATGTAATTGATGCCACTGAATTGTGAACTTAAAAATGGTTACAATTGCAAATATTATGTTCATTTAAAAAAATAAGATGGAATGTAATCACTATACATTATATGTGTGCATGAAATTGAAGATAGAAATGTTCTAAAATAGAAAGTGGTGATGGTGTCATGGGCCTATGACAAAAGTCCATC